GTCCTGTCTTTTTGAGACAGGGTTTCACTACGCAGTTCAGGCTGGCCTTGAACTCACTCTGTAGTTCAAGCTGGTCTCAAACTCACAGCAATCCTCCTGCCTCAGCATCCCAGCCTTTCAGGTGCTGGGATTACAGGCCTGAGCTACCATACCTGGCCTAGCACTTTATTCTTAAAAGTAATTAACTACGTAGCCAAAGAAAGTCCAAAAGAGCCAGTCATGGTGGCAGATGCCTGTAATCCCAGATACTCAGAAGGCTAAGAAATGAAGAGTGCATGTTCCAGGCCAGCTAGACCTTCAAGGTGGCAAGACCCTGTCTCTAAATAAAATAAAAACAGCTGGGGATTTACCTCAGTGGTAGACTTCTTGCACAGCATACATGAGGCCCTGGGTTTAATCCCCAGTGCTGCAACAAAAACAAAAACAAGAAAAAAGCAAAGCAACAAAGAATGCAAAGGAAACAAAAAACGCAGAATACAAAATAAATTTTAAAACGACTTCATAAACTGGTGTGGTAGTGCACACCTGCAATCCGAGCACTTGGGAGGCTGAGACAGGAGGATCGTTGCAAGTTCAAGACCAGCCTGGGCTCCAAAGTAAGCTCAAGGCCAACCTGAACTGCATAGCAAAACCCTGTCTCAAAAAGACCAAAAAAAAAAAAAAAAAAAAGACTTCATAACTAAAAGAAAGACTGCATAACTTTCCAATAACTGTAATTTTTTTAAATTTATTGGTAATTAAAAGACACTATATACATAAAACAAGAACATGATGTACTAAAAAAGGACCAAAGCATGGGAATAAACATAAAAATACAAAATTCAGCCAAAAAAAAAAGCAACGGGAAATAATCAAAAATGCTTCCAAAACTAGAATAAGAAGACCAAGACATGACAAGGATAAAAAAAACATTTTAAGAGCCAAGTGTGGTGGCGCATGCCTGTAATCCCAGCATTGGGAGGCTTGAGGCAAGAGGATCACTGTGAGTTCAATGCCAGCCTTTTTTTCATAAAGGGTAGCACTAAGCACATCAAGAACTGTTAAGGAAGGAAATCAAGAATACAATGATCCTGAAAGTTTGATGGAGAAATAACACAGTGTTAAGAATTAAACTGGACTTCTCAACACCAGCAATGAAATATACCGGGGCCAGGACTTTTAAATGACTTACAATGACTGGAAACACAACTCAGTGGTAGAGAGCTTACCTAACATGCTGGACACCCTGAGTTCAATCCCCACCACTGGGGTAAAAATCATTCAAAATTACTTCCAACCAAGCCAAGCAGGATGACACACACCTATGATCCCAGCACTTGGGAGGCTGAAGCAGGAGGATTGCTGCAAGTTTTAGGTCAGCCTGGGCTACATAGTGAGTTCAAGGCCAGCCCAAACTACATAGCAAGACTGTTTCAAAAAAAAAAAAAAAAAAAATTACTTCCAACCAGGAATTAATTCCATGCCTACTCAAAACACCCAGCTCCTCTCTTGGAAAGCTACTAGAGAACATGGTGCACCATGAGGGAGGATGGATGTACAGACAGAGAGAATCTGAGTTGTAGGGATGGTAGGGAGAATCCCAGAACAATGCTATGCACCCAGGTAAAGGAACGTCCATTCTAACTGGGTCAGGGTGAATATAAGAAAAAGAACGAGAATTAAAATCATCATCTACCAGTTGGATATGGTAGATCCCTGTCATCCCAGCACCCTGGAAGGCTGAGGCAGGAGGATCAAAATCCAGCCTGGGCAACCTCGCAAGACCATGTCTCAAAATAACAAATAAAACAGGGCTGTGGCTGCAGCTCCGTGCAAAAGCCCTGGGTTTAATCCCCAGTACCAGAAAAAAAATTCATCTACTCTCAGTGGAAATCCATAGATAATCCCTAAAATTGGTAAATAAAGACAACATAAATATTTATTTAGAACATTAAGTAAACACAAGAATTCCAGTCCCTTTGGCTTCTCTAGAAGGGCAGAAAGAGCAAGCTTTTTATTTTTGTCTTTTTGAGACAGGGTCTTGCTATGCAGTTCTGGCTGGCCTCCGACTTGCAATAATTCTCCTGCCTCAGCCTCCAAGTGCTGGGATTACAAGCATGCATCACCACGCCTGGCCTAAAAGAGCTTTTTAAGATGTCTTGTAGCACTGACTTTTTAAAACTGTGAAATGTGAATTATTATTTTAAAAATCAAATAAGATTAAAGGAAGAGACACATAGTAGCCACCTAACCACCTGCTAGACAAGCACAGAATTTGACTGGAAAGACACACCTGCTGAAAGATGACGTTTTGCTGGGAAAGTACTCTTGACCAACTCTTTGGTCAATGATCGTGGATATCTATTTAGGTCCCAGGAGAGACGCTGCCACTTTCTAACCTATAAATTGGAGGATAGGGGAGATGTACTCCACTACCTTAGTTGCGCTTTTTAGTGTGAAAATGTGTGGACGATCTGCAGGCCAGTAAGAAAAAAAAACATGCAGTTACATAAGTTTCAGGTGTCAGCTTGGCTAATCAATTTGGCAATTGGTGAACCCTCACACAGTAACAATTTCCCAGACTCTAGCAACAATGATGCCAGCGTTACCCACCTCCAGAGGCAGCAATGTTGGCACTGTAGAAGTGACCCCCTATCACGCAACTCTCTGACAAACACCTACAGTCAGAAATCTAAAAAGAGTTTATTAACTTTAAATGACCACCACAGATATAATACGGGTTTATCAAGTATTGGTTCTTTAGCATGTTCACCTCACCGTCCCTGTTTTCTCATCTGCAAATGGGGACATAACAGAATCTAAAGATTGCCATTAGGTTTTCGTGAGTAAATTCACTCAATGTGTTATAGTACAGCCCAAATAAGGGCTCAATAACATTTCATGTTATTATCATTATCATTATCACTGGCCGTCAAACCATCTATTAAGCAACCAGTGAGACATCAGAGACCACTCATTGCTCCATTTATTAAACACTTACCATGTGCCAGACTCTGAACAAGTGCTAGGCCTACAACTCATCAGGCAGTCATTTAACTCCTACCAAGTCTTACTTTCCTCATATACTAAATAGGAAATAATAGTATTTGCTGCAGTACTATTTGGAAGTACGAGGCAACTCTTCTAAAGGCTTGCACAGTCCCTGAGACACAGCAGATGCTCAATAAATTGTATCATTAATCCCTACACACCTCACTTGTAAGCCTGGAAGTTACTTGGAATGCTCTAATGTGTGTTTCCAGTTCCGAACTCGGTCCTTGAGCCTTGCTGGTGCGCAACGCATACTTCCTGCGTTCAGTCTGAAGACTCTCACACCAACCCAGTCCACTCACATCAACACCTCCCAAAAGGCAAGAATAGTAAAGAAAAGCAACAGCTATGCGTTACCCGGTGTAAACATTTCATCAAGCCTTGTGCATCAGCCGCTCACGCCACCTTCGCTTTCTGAGGTCTGGAAGTCCCAACAGCTACTACTCCCGTGGCTAATTTCAAAGAAAAGCTGCGGGCGAGCACTTTCCTCCACGCCGGCGCTTCCTTCGCCCAGAGAGCACGCTGCCTCCCCGGCCGCGGCGCCCGCGCGTCCCGCCGCAAAGCCGGCTCTCGCTCGCGCCGCAAGCAGAACGCAAACCACCCCGCCACGAGCGAGGAAGGCCGCCACCCCGAACAAAAGAACGCCAACTCGCCGTCCGGCCCGCGCCGCGCGCGTCCGGGGCAAACTTGCGTCCCGCGAGTCCCCGCGAGGGGCTCCCGGCTTTGTCCGCGGGGAGCGCGCCGGGCCGGCCAACTTTTCCGTAAAGATGGTGCCACGCTCTCCAGGAGCGAAAGGTCACGGTGCGGCCCGCCGGCGCGGGCCAGCCTCGACTCGGCGGCGCCGCGCTGGCCGGC